ACTTTTCCAGTGGGCTTCAATTTTCATCAAGGAGCCTGGGAGAGGCCCTCTTTCTGTTGTTCACTTCTGGTCTGTCTTCTGGAGCTCAGGACAATGGCCTTTATGACCCCCTGTGCCTCTAGGGTGTGGATCTAGGTACAGGCACAACTAGGAGGCCAGAGGTGGGGGTGGGTGGCTGGGTGATGGTGCTGCAGGTGCCTGTGTGGCTCAGCTCCTCACTGGTCTGCCCCCGGCTGGGAGGCCCGGAACGGGGTGGTGTAGCTTCAAGTATCTATATTTTTTTAAATCTCATTTTCAAAGGGGGTTTGTGAATCACAAAAAGTTAAAAACCACTGGACTACATGACCCCTTTCATCTCTAAGGTTGAATAAGCCAGAGGTCCTAAGGCACACATTTTCTTATTCCCTTGAGAGGAAGTTAAAGGCCAAATATTACTGTGCCTGTTATTCAGCAACAATGAAGAGATAGACTCTGACAGACCCCTAGATACTGTGCAACAGCAGCTAAAAAGGTTATAGCAAAACCTTTTCTGTCTCTTGAGGTAATCAGCCCCCCCTCACTGGAAATGTTCCAACAGGAGATGAATTATCATCTCTACAGGATATTTATAAGGAATTTTTTAAGTTACATGAAGAACTGGTTTTGAGATCTCTTGTGAGTCAAAGTGAGAGCTAAGTTCATGCTCTTCCTTTGCCTGGATAACCTCTCACTTCTCTCCTCTCACTTTGACATTCTTCATCTGGGGCCTTTCTTGCTCTTGGTTTAATTAGTGACTGTCTACCACATCCTTCCATAGCTCTGTGTAGATGTGTCTGTTTTAGCACTCAACACATCTAGAACTCTCTATCTGCAGAAGTGTATGGATCCAGTTTCCCCACGTGATCTTCACCTCCTTAAGACAAGGGATATGTTTCATGTCTTCCTATCTCCAGTACCTTGGAGTATTTGGTATATAGCCAGAATTTAGTAAACATTTAATAACTGCCCCTAAAATGGATCTAAAACCTTACATAAGTCATTAATCACTCTAGGCCTTAGTTTCCCCACCTATCACATGGAAGAGTTGGACTGCATATTCTGGGATCTCCTTCCTTTTTAATACTGTGGATCTCTGTGAGTACCACTTTAGTTTCTTTGCCTGACTCAAGGCAGAAAACACATCTATGTACCACTTATCTTCACAACATACTCTGGCCCTTATTTGCTTTTCCAATTCCCTGCATTTGATCATGAACAAATTAGCATTTGACAGCTTTATGACAGTTCCTGTCATAGACACAAGAGCAGAGAGCCTCACCTCTATAATATACTTGCACATGAAACTGCAATTCTCTTAACCTCTTAGACTCAAGGTGCTTACAAGTCTGACTCCTGACTATTGGTAAGAGCAAGCATTCAATACTGAGCCTTGAGACTTGGTGCCACCTGGAAGATTCTTTAGAGCAAAATACATCCTTTTTTTTTTTTTTTTGGTACCGGGGATTGAACTCAGGTCCTTGTGCTTGTGCAGCAGGTGGCGAAACCACTGAGCTAAATCCCCGGCCCCAAAATGCATCCTTTTTAAAAAATGAAATTAATTTCATATACTCAAGGTCTAACTACATATAATGATGATTACATTGTTTCTTCTAATTCTGCTTACTTTTACCAAAATGAAAAATCAGTCTCCTATAAACCTCCCCAAAGAGATCAGGAAGGCTGGGCCCCCATGCTTTCTGGACATCTTTATTACTCTTAAAAGCTGCATCCCCTGTTTGCCATGGGGCTGCCTTTGTTGGAAGCTCAGAAAGGCCTGCCGTGACAAAGTTTGCCCAGGTGCTGTTTGGACAATGGCTTCTTAGAATTAAGGATGGCTGTTTGGTTTTCCAAAAAGAAACAACTACTCAAATAACCAAGTCTAATTTATCACCTTAGAGCCCTTCCAGTGGCATTGAGATCCATGTAGATGCCAACCCAGAGCACCATACAGGGGTGTCTGTCTAAAGAGCTAGTATCATTTTCTTTCTTTTTTTTTTGTATAGGGGATCAAACTCTGGTCCTTGCGCTTGCGAGGCTAGTATCATTTTCTTAAAGCAGCTCTGTTCCTCGGGGCTGTATCCAGAGCAGCACCCCCTTACCCTGCCTAGAGCAAGCTGTTGGGTCAATTAGCAGCACACCAGCCTCCCAGAGCTTCCACCTTCTGAGAAGCAGCCTCTTCCCTGACAGATCACTGAAGAGCACCCGCTGGCATCTGTGTGAATCCCAGACACAGAGCCTGACAGGCCATCCAGCTCATCTACCGACTGCAGTGCAGCAACTCAAGGGTTAGCACTTGGCAAGGATGTAGCAAAACCAGAGGTGAATAAACATCAGAGCTCTACAGGAGTTAGTATAACCCATCTGGCCGTGTTCTCTGTGATGACTCCATAGAAAGCCATGAGATAAGTAAGCTTGGACTCAGGTCAGAGGCTTCTCCAAGTCACCTGGGTCTTCTCTGTCCCTTGAAATCTAAATAAGCTTTGCTTCCAATTCCAGTCTGGGGAAGTCTGAATTCTGCAACTGCTTGGTAGCTGAGAGTCTCTGACTCAGCTCTTGTAGCTGAGTCCTGTGTCTTAATTCTACAGCTTGTCAGTTTGCTCATTTAAAAAGCAAATATATACTAATAAAAATGAAAATTGAAAAAAAAAGTATGAGTGAACATGGTAGACCTTAAAGTTGATAGTGCTCGGACTGGGGATTTAGCTCAGTGGTTCCGCCACCTGTCTCGCAAGCACAAGGTTGGGAGTTCAATTCCCTGGTACCAAAACAAACAAACAAAAAAGACAACTGTCAAAGTTGATAGTGCTCAGGAGAATTGGGTTTCTTATCCCGTATGGTATAGTCAGTCCATATTAGGTGCTCCTGTTCTCTCTCTTTTTTTTTTGGTACCAGAAATTGAACTCAGAACCTTGCGCTTGCAAGGCAGGCGGCGGAACCACTGAGCCAAATCCCCGGCCCACTCTCCTGTTCTTTTTTTTTTGGTACCGGGGATCGAACTTGGGTCCTTGCACTTGCGCAGCAGGCGGTGAAACCACTGAGCTAAATCCCTGGCCCTCTCCTGTTTTCTTAAGGCTTGCTACTCAAGGTGGGCTCAGAGAACCAGCAATACCTATGTTACTGAGTACTTGTGGGAAACAGACTCTTCAGACTATCCCTAGACTTGCTGTATCAAACTTGTAACTAATAAGACCCAGATGATTCAGCCCATCAAGTGTGAGGAGTAAAGAGCCAAAGTCCTTTTCTAACACCTCATCATGGGAGGATTCGATTTCTCTCCCCTGGCCCTTGTTCTGACCAGTCTCTCATCTTCCCTGTCTCCTACCTGCCTTCCCTCTCCCTGTTCTTTCATCTTCTCCCTCATTGTCTGGAGCTACCAACAAATGTGTCTCCTGCAGAGCATCCTTTTGCTCTGGGACCTCATTGCTGGTCACCACATGGACCCTAAACATCTCCCCATCTACCAGCTCTCACTCTTCCCCCAAGCTTGTCAAAGTGTTTGTACCAACAGGGTTTCCCTGTAAGGGGATCCAGTATTACAGTAAAACAACCTCGATGTCTGAAAAATCCCCAAATTCTGCAAAGCAGCTTATTTCTAAACCAGCTGCTTTCTGAGCTATCATACAAGTATTAGACCCAGCAAAACTGGTTTCTGACAGGAAAGTGATTGACTCAGTCACTTGGCAGTTGTTGGCAGAAGCAGAACTAGAAAACTTCTTACACTTCCCACCACACATTCTCTCTAGCACATTCCAAATCAGAACTTTTAACCTCCTTGAGTAATAACTGGATTATCTGGGAAGCAGGTACATATCGGTGCCAGCTGTCTATCAAAAGCACTAATCAAAGATCAAAAGCAGCAAACCAGGATGTTTTCCCATACTTCCTCCCTTTGCCCAAATTCCTCCTTCAGTCTAAAATCCACCTTCCCACCTCTCTGTCTGGCAGACTCCTACATATTTTGGGGGACCAGTGACTGGAACCTTGATTTTCCAGACAAAATTCATTACTACCTCTTCTGTGCAGGCACACTGTCACATTTCTTCCATGACAGGTTAAGTCTCTGTTTTCCTAGCTGTCTCTTTCTCGATCGACATTTCCTCTGTGGGGGACCTGAACTCTATGGTGCCCATTCTGTACCAGTTCTCAGCAGAGACTCAGAAAATAGTAGATTTTTTTCTCCCTACTGTCTCTCCCTTGGCAATCCCTACAATTAGTGACATTGGTCAAACAAATCCTGCCCTTAGCCCCTTCATCCTCAAGCTCCTGACCCCTCCCTAGCCTGGTTACCCTTCTGAGCTGCCTTGTCACCTCTGCTACTCATTTCCAGCCAAGGCTTATTTCATGCTACTGCTTCTCAATGGTTGCAACTTGGCCCCCAGCTAATTGTGATGACTCTTTGAAAATTATCCTACCGGCTGGGCCTCATCTGCAGAGGGAGTGGGCCTGACTCCTTGGCTGGGCTCTCAGTGGCAGTATTACACTTCATAGATGTGTTGTGAGGTGCTTTGTAAGTTTTTCATATAATCATTAAGGTTTGCTGATGGTCTTTTTTTCAATAAGTGGAGCTGATTCAAAGTCATCCCCATGACTGCTGTCAGTTGCAGTCTGCTGTGCTTCCTGTAACAGGAGAAAAGGGGTAGAGTTTCAGGTAGCTCCAGGATCACACGCGTGTGGAGGACACACACCCTTGGCGAGGTGTTGACTCACATAAAGTAGCATGGCGACCTGTAAAGTGTGTCTCAACAGTGTGAAGATTAATCTGGAAGTTTCTTTTTGGCTCCATCACCCTTTGAGCTGTAAGGCTGGTGTAAAATGAGAGGACTTTTATTCTATCTGGAGAAAAGAATACTCCTGGAAAATGTGAATTTCCAAACCCCTTCTGTGGTATGGAAGCTTCTCCTAAAATTCAGTACAACTCAGAGACCCTTGAGCAGGTGGTATGCTTTTAACGTTTTCCTCCTCCTCTTTTGCTTGGCTTCCAGAAAGCGGGAAGAAGAAAACAAGCGGAAAGAGGCAGAGCAGCAGCAAGGACAGTTCAGCCCAAATTCCCACAAACCTCAAGCCCTTCCCTGTCTTCTCAGTCCCCATGATGAGCCCAGCAGGCAGAGCAGGGACCCAAGAGAGCAGCCACCTGCTGGCCACAAAGCCCAAGGCCCTGAGCCAAAAGACAACAGAAGGTCTCCAAGCAGACCCCCCCAGAAGGAGCAGAATGTCTTATCAGACCTGCAGGAAACAGACTCCAGGAAACCAAAGGGTAAGTGTGTGCACTTTGTTATTTGCTGCCAGCCCATGGACTATAGGCTCTTTTATTGGGTGTAGGTAGGCAGTTGCCTTTAAGGCAATTACTGGCACTTAAGTCTACCATTTTATGATTTGTTTTCTGTTTCCTATGGTTCTCAGTCCTCTGTTCCTCTTTTCTTCCCCTCATGTTGGTTATTAGAACATTTTTTAGGATTCCATCTTGATAGGTTTATTGTGTTTTTGAGTGTATCTGTTTCTATAGTTTCCAGAGCGGTGGCTGTGGAGACTACAATGTACATATGTGATTTGTTACAGTCTGCTAACACCAGCATTTTACCACTGAGTGAAATGTGGAAACCTCACTTCCATTTAGGTAGCCTTACTTTCCCTTGGGATCAGATGTTTTTATTATTTTTATTTCAATCAGCAAATATAATTTATAAAACTCATGAGAAAAAGAAGAGTCTATTTTATGTACTCATAAATCTACTCTTCTGTAGTTTCTTCCTCATTCCTGATGCTCCAGGATTCCTTCTTTTACCATTTCCTTTCTGACTGAAGAGCTTTTTTTAGCCAATCTTTAAAGTAGGTTTGCCAGCAAGAAATTCTTTTGAATTTCCTTTTGTCTAAATATGGTCTTTTCCCATTGTTGTTTTGGTGCATATTGGTTATACAAAATAGTGGGTTTAGTTTTGGCATATAACATGCTTTGATCATCCTCTCCCATTTAAGTATTCTTTTATTTCATTTCTAAAGAATTAAGCCAGACATAGAATTTATGGTTGACAGTTCTTTTCTTTTAGCACTTGAAAATTATTGTGCCTCCTCCTCCTGATTTCTGTGGTTTCAGATGAGTAATCCAGGTCATTGCAAATGGTCTTTCAAGGGAACATTCCTGCAAAACATGTTATATTTCTCGGCTTTCAGGATTCTTTTGTTATCTTTAGTTCTCAAAAGTTTAGTACGATATATCCTGGCCTAGGTTTTAGGGGATTATTCCATGGAGTTCATTTAGTGTGTCAGGGTCCCCAGCACCACCCTCAGGTTTGGTTATTTGCTGGGAAGACTCACAGGACTTACTGTATACTTGTACTCATGACTATGATTTATTATAATAAAAGCACACAAAGGAAAATCAGCAAAGGGAAAAGGTTTATGGAGCAAAAGAAAACAGGCACAATCTTTTAAGAGTCCTCTCCCAGTGGAGTCACACACAACATAATTCCTTCAGCAACAGTATTGATCAGTTAAACAACTTTTTGTCTACAAGAAAAGTTCACACAAACCTTGGACTCCAGGATTTTTATCATGAGTCATTCACAGAGGTACCCTCTGCCTAGTGTATGCCAACATTTCAGACTCCCAGAAGGAAAGCAGGTGTTCAGCATGAACCAGTGTTTTGGTAAGGGAATTTAAACACACTGAGCCACTCTTACAAGTTACGGAATGGTGGGAACCCGCCAAAATCTAATGCAAATGCTGATATAGTGAAAAAGGCAAATTATGTCAGTATAACTATGAAAATAGTTTCCACCCTGTAGATCCTCAGAAAGAGTCTCTGCAATCTCATGATTACTTAATTCAGGGTTTGGACATCTCAGTTTGTTTCTCTGGACTTCAGGTCCCTTAGCTGTGAAACAAGCTACTCTATCCTGCAAGGCAGTTATGGACAGAAACATTACTAATCTGGCCAAGAATTTCTCTGTAAAAGTAATGACCATAAAAATTCCTGGAAAATAGTTCCATAGTCTATTCTACTGTGACTGTATATCAGCGAGGCAGTCCTTAAAGACAGTGTGATTGTTTGTTACATGGGCATTCATGTGTCTCTTTAAATATCAGTTTTGCTGTCAATGATCTCTTGTGGCATAACAAACCACCCCCTAAAACAAAGTGGCTATAGGTTAAACATAGTTCTGTGGGTTAGCCAAGCAGTTCCTCTGCTGGTCACCTGGACTCTCTCATGTAGCTGCTGGTGAGCTGGCCGGGCAGCAAAGCCCAACATGGCATGGTGCTGGATGGTGACAGAGGTGACTCCATTCTCTTGCATGTGGCCTGTCTTCTCCAGTAAGTCAGACCATCTTCCTTACGTGCTCTTCTCAGAACAGTGCTCTGAGAGAAGGCAGAGAAGCTGCAAGGCCTAGACTTCAGAACTTTCACATCACTTCTACCACATTCTCTTCATCACAGTAAGTCACAATGCCAGCCCAGATTCAAGGGCGTGAAGAAACATGACCTCTGGATGGAAGATGTGCCAAAATTATATAATAGTGATATATACATATTACATTTGCTAGATGCTAGAGACTCAACAGGTCATTAAACATAGGACAAAAAGTATTTATGTAAGTTATATAACAGAATCCCACGTTGTGGCAAAGATTTGTTTCTTCTTCACTAAATCGCTTATACGTGCATTCATTTAATTCATTCATTTTTGAAGCCACATTATGTGCCTGCTATATTGAATTCTCAAGACTAAGGATCACACCATGAAGTTTTTTCCTATAGCAATGGGTATAACATTGGTTACATGGGTTTACTGTCTATCCCCAGAATTACACTTAATCCCTTCAAATAGATAAATGTTAATAGTTCTTTAGTCCAGAGCCCTACAGAGCAGAGAGATCGGGGAGCACAGTAATTTCAGACTTACAACTACACAGGGTAGATGATTCACATTAGCCTTATTATGAAACATCCTGGAGTGGTTAACCTCAAGGCCAGTAAGGTCTACTGTGGACCTAGTCACAGTCTGATGAGGTGGCCTCACATCTGAAAACTCCATGTTGTTTCAGTTTCTAATAACCAATCTTTCTGTCTGTTCATTACAGTGATACTAGTTAGACTTTCTCAAGGTGATCTGGTATAGTTTTTCAATGACTTTTCAAGCCATGGGTGGCTCACAAAATGAATTTAGGGGATTAGACCAGACTCTAGCATTTCTATTCCTTCTACTGGAGCAGACTACAATAGAAAATACCAAAGTACGGTACACATTATAAAGGTAATAATTTCTCTTTCAGTGTTATCTACATATATGTATATATTATGTGAGTGTGTTTGTAGGTATATGCATGCGTATGAGTATATTAGGCCACAATAGAAGACTTAGTTCTTGGTTTATGCCATTGTCAAAAAAAAATTGAAGTTAGTGTTCTAGAACAACTCTGAGGTGGGGGAGATTCTTGCTCATTTGAGACCAGGAAGTGGCACCTACAGTAAGGGACTTTTGTGATGAGCCAGATTCAAATGTGCAGACAGGGTCTCAGAAAAGCCCAGCATCTAGACTTTGGGGAACAGCTAAAGGATAAGAGGCTGTGAGGCTGACTTGGATGTAAGGAAAAGGAACATGGGCAGTCTTTATTCCATTCATCTGCCCAAGAGACCACAGTACAAAGGAAAATAGATCCTTTCAGGAATCAAGAATGACCACTGACTCCAGCCTCTATGGCATAGTGTTTCCAGGAACCCCCCACATCATAGGCAACTCGAATCATGATTGGCCACGTAAAGAGGAGGCACAGCTGCTTCAGCTGACCAGGGTTCAAGCAGTCTACACCTTGACAGGTGAGCATCCCAGTAAGAACCTAGAGATGGGAAACATGTATCACCCCACTCTGTCCTTCACCCCATCTCATAGAGAATGTTACAGCATGTGGGTCTTTGCAGAACATCTAGTTCAGCCTTTTAAGAACCAGGAAGCTGAGGGCCCTGAAAGGGGGCAGATTTAAAGGTGTCTAGCAAGCAACTTCCTTCTCTCTCCAAGTTAATGGTTCCCTTCTGCTTGTTTATGATTTGTGCAAATCAAGCTTTGGAATTACACAGCCTGAGTTTACACTTAGACTCTGCCACTCTCTGGCAGTGTAAACTTGCACAAGTTACCTACCCTCACCAAGCCTCATTCTCTCTTTGGAAAAAAGGAAATAATACCTTCCTTAGAAAATTGAGAGCAGCAGAGATAGGCCATGTAAAGATGTAAAGACCGCGCCTAAAGAGCTCTGTGAATGTGTGCTTTTCTGGTAATTACCCTCATTATTTCAAATGGGGAAATAGAAAGAGGGCTAATCGTTAGAAAGAGGGCTAATCGTTAGAAAGATCGCTGTGGCTAAGTGGAGGGTGGACTGGAGGGACCAGATAGGTCTGTGCTAAACAGCAGCAGCCGGGTGAGGAACAGCAGGTGGCCTTTGGAGTGGAACTGAAACCGAGCATGAGGGCTACATCTGTAATCCAAGCACTGTGGGAGGCTGAGACAGGAGGATTGCAAGTTCAAGCACAGACAAGGCAATTTAATGAGACTCTGTATCAAAATAAGGTATGGGGGTGCTGGGCATGTAGCTCAGTGAGAAGGCCCTGGGTTCAATCCCGAGCACCACCACCACCACCAAAAAAAAAGTAGAATCAAGGGGACTTGGTGACAGATTGCTCACGTGAGGTGGGAAGATAAAGTTATCTTTGTGTCATTGTGGTTTTTCGAGTGTGTGAGGAGAAACTCATTGTTTCAAGGGCCAGCCTATTGTTTTCTTATTCTCACTCTGTACTGTCAGAGCTGGGAGCTGTGATTGGTGTGAGTAAAAGCAAGTCCTTACAGTGGACACATGCACAGTAGCTGGGGCAGCAAATTCACTTAGTTTCTTCATGCCAAAGGCTTCCTGACCTCTCTTCCTTGTTCCACTTACATATATTCAGTTATTTATATCCTCATTTGTATGTCTCAAATGGATCTTCTCCCCTCCTCCTGCTCCTCCTCCTCCTCCTCCTCCTTCTTCTTCTTCGGTACTCGGGATCGAATTCGAGTCCTTGTGCTTGCACAGCAGGCGGCAAGACCACTGAGCTAAATCCACGGCCCTCAAATAGATCTCATACTCAACCTACCCAAGACAGAACAAATTTGTAATTACATGGACTCACAACTATAGTATCATATAGTGTAGTTTCACTACCCAAAAAAATCTACTGTGTTCCACATATTCATCCCTCTCTCTCTCCTAGCCCCTGGCAACAACTTGTCTTTGTCATTGAGTCCCTAATTTTGCCTCTTACAGATTGTCATATAATTGGAATCATATACTGGGTGGCCTTTCTGGAAACTTCTGTCACTTGGTAATAAGCATCTAATGTTCCTCTATGTCTTTTCATGGCTTGATCATTTCCTTTTTAGTGCTATATAATATTCTGTTGCCTGGATGTACCACAGTTTATCAATTCATTTGTTGAAGAACATCTTGATCACCTCAAAGTTTGGCCTGTTATGAATAAAGGTGCTATAAATATCCATGTGCAAATTGTGCAGACTAAAGTTCTCAGCACCACTGGTGGGTAAATACCAAGGAATGTGATTGCTGGATCTTATGGAAAGAGTATATTAGTTTTGTGAGAAAGTACCAAACTATTTTTCAAATGGCTATAACATTTTGCATTCCGACCAGCAATAAATCAAAACACTCCACATCCCTACCAGCATTTGCTATTGTCAGTGTTTTGGGTTTCTGTCATTTTGGTAGGTATCTTCTTTTACTCCTTTCTATTTTCTACTCCTTTCCTACCCCATCCCCCTGAGGGTGCATTTTCTATAGCCCCGCCCTTTTCTTTACATGAAGAGAGCCAGTTTATTCTTTTTTATTGAGGTACTGGGAACTGAACCCAGGGGTACTCTACCACTGACCAAAACTCCTAGCCCTTTTTGTTTTTAGACAGGGTCTCCCTGAGTTGCCCAGGCAGAACTTGAACTTGCAATCTTCCTATTTCAGTCTCCCTTGGTGCTGGAACTACAGGAATGTGTCATCACACCTGGCTTAGATTATTTACACTTAAGGGTGCCAGGGGTTTAGCTCAGTGGTTCCGCCAACTGCCTTGAAAGCACAAGGATCCGAGTTTGATCCTTGGTACCAAAAAGAAAAAAAGGAATACATTTAAGAGTAAAGTCTGTTTCTGAAAACACATTATTTGGATAACCTGTGTATCTGTTTTATTATTCATTCTCTCTGTTGGCACCACCCACCTGCCACCTGCCTGTATATATTTGCTTAAATGCTGGGTATCTTCCCAAAAGAATTAAAAGAATCATACCACAGCGATACATGTGCACCCATGTTTATTGCAGCACAGTGTGAAATTGCTAAAGCTTGGAAACAACCCAAGTGCCCATCAACTGGAGACTGGATAAAGAAGATGTGTTTTTTTTTATAAAATGGAGTACTACTCAGCCATAAAGAATGAGAAACTAGAGTCATTTATAGGTAAATGGATGCATATTGAGGCCATACTCATAAGTGAAATAAATAAGACACACATGTGTAAATACCAAATAGTTTCTCTAGTGTAAGAAACTGAAAGTGTAAATAAGGGTTTAAATGATTAAAATGAATAATTGATAATTTGAAATAGGAAAAAAGGTCCAAAAAGGTAGGGGTGAAGGGAGAGGAAGGGGAAAGGAAAGAAGGGAAAGGAAAAATTATGAGAAAAGAAAAAAAAATGGAAATGATGTCTATGTCAATAGGGAAGGGTGGAGGGGGTGAAGGGCGCACAGGTAATGGGGAAAAAATAAGAACCTATATCATGTACAGGTACAAACACCCAATGATAAATGTAAATGTATACCTAAAATGTACTAATAAAAAGAACTTAAGAATAATAATTAAAAAAACAGCATGGCCTCAATGTCTCTAGTTTCTCATTCTTTATGGCTGAGTGGTACTTCATTTTATTAAAAAATCACATCTTCTTTATCCAGTTTCCAGTTGATGGGCACTTGGGCTGTTTCCAAGCTATAGCTATTACAAACTGTGCTGCTATAAACATGGGTGCACATGTATTGCTGTGGTATGATTCTTTTAATTCTTTTGGGAAGATACCCAGCAGCTGGGTCAAATGGGACCTCTAGTCCTAGTTCTTTGAGTATCTCTCCATACTGATTTCCACAGTGGTTGCACCAGTCTGCACTCCCATCAACAATGGAGAAGGGTTCCTTTCTGCCCACACCCCCACCAGCATTTGTTATTGGTTGATTTCTCTTTTTGGGGGGGTACCAGGGATCAAACGTGGGTCCTTGCTCTTGCGAGGCAGACAGCAGAACCACTGAGCTAAATCCCCAGCCCCTGTTAATGGTTGATTTCTTGATAGCAGCCAGTCTTTCTGGGGTGAGGTGGAATCTCAGTGTTGTTTTCATCTGCATCCCTCGAATGACCAGTGATGTTGAATATTTTTTCATACGTTTATTTGCTGCTTTTACTTCTTTGTCTGAGAAATGTCTGTTCATTTCAGATGCCCATTTTTGAATTGGGTCTTTAAATTTGAGAGATCTGATTTTTTTCAGTTCTTCATATATTCTAGATAGTAGTCCTTTGTCTGAGGTACAGCTGCTAAAACTTTTTTTCCACATTGTAGGTTGTTAGCTCTGTTGGTGATTTCTCTTGCAGTGCAGAAGCTTTTTAATAAGACGAGATCCCGGTTGTTGATTCTTTCTGCTAGTTCCCGTGCTGCTGAGGTTTTGTTCATGAAGTCTTTTCCTATCCCATTGTCTTCAAGAGTTCTACCTAACTTATCTTCCAGCAAGTTTCATGTTTCTGTCTTAATATTTATATCTTTAATCCACCTCGATCTTAGTTCAGTGCATGATGATAGGTATGGGTCTAGTTTTAATCTTTGGCAGGTTGAAATCCAGTTTTTCCAACACCATTTATTAAAGAGGCTATCTTTCCTTCAGTGAGGGTGGTTGGCTCCTTTGTCAAAGATGAAGTGGCTGAGTGTGTCTGGCGTTGTTTCTGCATCTTCTAATCTATTCCACTGATCCTCAGGTCTGTTTCTTTGCCAGTACCATGCTGTTTTTATCAAAGTAGCTTTGTAGTATAATTTCAAGTTGGAGATTGTGATACCCACTGCCATGTCTCTGTTGCCTAGAATTGCTCTTGCTATTCTAGGTCTCTTCTGGTTCCAAGTGAATTTTTGGGTTGTTTTCTCTAGCTATGTGAAATATATTGTTGGAATTTCAATCGGCATTCCATTAAATCTATATAGCAGTTTTGGAAGTATGGCCATTTTTACTATATTGGTTATTCCTACCCAGGAGCAAGGGATGTCTTTCCATTTTCTTATATCCTCTTCGATCTCTTTTTTCAGAGTCCTGTAGTTTTCAGAGTAGGAGTCTTTTGCTTCCTTTGTTAGATTGATTCCTAGATTTTCACTTTTTTGGATGCTATTGTAAAAGGAATTGTTTCCCTAATTTCTCTCTGAGTCTGTTATTTGTGTACAAGAAGGCTATTGTTTTTTGAGGCAACCAGATATTTAATAAGACCATCTGTTGCCCACTCCACCACTACCACCTGCCTAGACAGTGGCTGGTTAAGCTTGTGTATTTAGCACTCTGATTTTAAATTTTCTCTTTGTTTTCAGCCTTCAGAGAGGTCCTTATTTTCTTGAAGGTATGATGGTGCTTTTAAAAGGATGTTCATTACATTTTGGTCGCCATTTCTAGGTACTTAGTAAAGGCCTTCAGGTTATCTACCATATTGCTGGAAAAAGAAGTTGAACAGTTCTTTTCCAGTCATAATTGTTATAGGACAAGTTTATTTAAAAAATGTGAACAAACCAGCATAATTGCCCTACTATGTAAGTTTTAAACCATAACTACTCTTCCCTTTTGTCTCCCCAAGAAACAGCCAGGAAACATTCTAAAGGCCACTCTGCCTGTGTCCACATCAGACCCAATGAAGGCAGTGGAGACTGGTGTCTGGGAGTCTCCTCTGTTGATAAGTCCAGAGGTGAGACAGCTGGCGAGCATCGGTGTGAGAAGGGGAAAGACATGTTGAAGCAGCCCTCCTCTGTCAGGGGGCCTGGGCCCAGTGACAAAGGAGAGGACCCTGGCTGTGCGGCTGCAGGCCTTCCACTGCAGGATGGGCACCGGAAGCCCAGCAGGCGGCATGACTCAGCACCCAAGGCCAGAAGTGCCCCCCAGAAAAGGCTCACTCAGGAACTCAGAGGAAGGTGCTCCCCAGCTGGGTCAAGCCGGCCTGGCAGTGCCAGGGCGGAGGTGGTCCACGCTGGGCGGACTCCTCTCCACCACTGCACACCAAGAAACAAAATGATACAAGACAAGCTCGCAGGAGGGGATTTACCAGAGAGCACAAAGGAAATGAGGTCAGGAGCCAGGAAGTTGGGGCCATCGACCCTAACTGAGAACATTCAGCTATCTAAGGAGACTGATCCAGCCCCTGGTCTCCTCTCTGGGCAGAGTGTGAATATTGACCTTCTCCCTGTAGAGCTCCGGCTGCAGATAATCCACAGAGAAAGAAGTAGGAAAGAGCTGTTTCGAAAGAAGAACAAGGCAGCAACAGTCATCCAGCGTGCCTGGCGAAGGTAGGAAGAGGTGCAATGGCATCTTTGGTTCTTTGGTTGTTAGATGCCCTTGTAGGCTTGTATGTCTTCCCAGTGAATTCCATGGCCAAATTTATGGAGCCAGCCCATGAAATCCACACCTGTACATCTTAGTGCTTTACACTATACAGTGAAAGTTATGTGTACAGTGTTTTTGCCCAGAAAGATGGGAACATACCCAGAAGAGTATGCAGTAAAGGAAAGAGCCCTGGTTTGTAACACGAAGCCTGGGATTCCAGTGTAGCTCTACCAGGTTGTCTGAATTGGGGCAAATCATTTGGCCCCCCTCACCCTCAGTTTCCTCATCAGTAAAACAGGATTTAACAATTGGCCACACATGTCCTGTTTAGATGATAGGTTGCTGGGATTAATTTATAATTCATAAACCCTAAGGTAAACACACATAAGACATTTTGTTTTTCTAATTTTTATGTCTTTACTCCCTACAAATTAGTCGTATTACAGTTACCTGAACCCAGCCTAGATATAGTGGATTGAATAGCTGAAATTTATCATGTAAATTGTCTGAGCATCTAATCAAGCTCAAAATATGGGTTAGACACTGGGAATTAAGGTGGTAGCTGTCCTAAAAGATTGGGTCAGTGTCCTAGGATGGTAGAGACAGACACCTCCATGATGGAGACAAACACCTCTTGGGAGGACTGGAAGGTTCTTTGCTCCAAGTTTTCGTGTATCTCATAATCTCCTTCACACTCCAAATCAGGCCTTACAGTGATGACTTCCCAAGGAAGAGTTGGACCCATCACCAAAGGTGGGAGTTCTATGGGTTCCATCTTGGGGAAAGGAAAATAGGGGATAAAGTGAGCAAATCATTACAAGGCCTGTGTCAGTAGAAACAAAAACAGGCCATGAGAACACTACCACTGGCAGAAAGAAGAAAGTAGATCAGTTCTTAGGAGGTCCAGAGTGAGAGCCCTGTGGGAATAGCATGCCAAAAACTGTCTCACTCACAGCCAGTGATCTAGCTTGTGCTTGTACAGCCTTTGAAAACTGTGCCCTCATGTCTGCTTGCACTCCTGTGATCTCCCAGTCACACTGGAAGCCATCATGATGGGGATCTGTGTTTCCATTCTCAGACAAGCAAACCACTCAGAGGAAAAATAACTTCTCTTTGAGGTACAGACCCAGCACTTGAACCTCAGACTCACATCTTGGGGACTTTCTTTTACATTATAAGTGGTTTTTTTGCTGTGGTCAAGATAAAGGCAGTGGATGCAGCCTCCTGTGCCTTGTCTGAGAGTAGGATGAAGAAGGGCTGCCTGGAAAGTACACACACAAAGAACAATCTCAGTTTTGGGGATGCTGTTCTTACTACCATCATTCATGCTAGCAGTTGATAATTTATTGGGCACTTGTGCCAGGCACTGTGCAAAGTAGCTTTACAGAAATGAGTTCTTTTATTCCTCACAGTAATCTTTTAGGTTGGTGCTGAACCTATCCCTATTCCACGGAGGAGAAAACTGAAGCACAAAAAGGTGAAATCAGCTTCCTAACACCAGAGCTGGGAGGTGCCAGGTCCTGACTTTGAGCCAAGACAATGGGAATAGCCATTGCTCCCCTTCCCTGGGTCATTATGCAGGACATGCACTGGTTACCATCCAGAGAAACTTTTCAAGTTTTTAAGTTAAGTATTTTAGCTGAAACCTGGGATCTAAACAAGCCAGCAAGGTTACCTCTTGAGGCTCCACAGCTGCTTCCAAACTAAAATGCCTCCCTCTCAGGCTGTTATTTGACTCCTTTGAAGAGTCAGAAGCTGACAGATGCTGTCAGTAAGTGTCCAGAGTAGCAAATGAGCCTTCAGTCATTCCTACCAAGAACACTGGGCTCATAGTCAGGCACATCCATCTGGAAGGCTCCTCTGGCTGCCCCATTGTGCAGTTCTGAAGCCTGGGGACACTGACTCCCCCAAAGTCTTCTGGAATGCCACACATTGTGGTACACTGCACCTGGTGATGGTAAAAACACTTTCATTGATTTCTGTTATGTTTTAACTATATTCCCCATTTTATATTTTTCAGTACTGTCCTGGAAAAGTATGTCTGACATCAAACCTAAGGAACAGTGAGGGATGGGGAAGTGGACAGGGTTTTGGCATTTAAGTGCTCAATAAATACAGGCTATTTTTATAGGGGACACATCCAGGATGGGGAAAGGGAGCTGGAAAATAGGCAAGGATGGAGTGAGTGGTCTGAACCTTGGGCTTCAAGAAAAAGAAACTTAATCTTAAAATTGTGAGTTTTATTACCAATTAAGGTTTAACTTTTAAAACTTGAAACCAGACACTAGACAAACTAACCTGGAAAGCTGCTGCATAAAACACTTTGTTACCCAAACATGCGGAAACTACCTTCCTGTCATTTCTCTCCAGCTTTCTGAGATGAATAAGCAAGGATGAGCTGGGTCTTAAGAGCCCCAAGCCCATGGTTGGAAGGAACTAATGGGCATGTTGGGATTCCCCACAAACCGAGAATGTGTCCTCCTGGAGATGGGAGAATGGGGCCTGTTCCTCTGACCTGAAGACCACTGTGTTCCCTGGATGTACTGTCTCCATCCCACGGCTGGCTGGGTAAAAGCTGTGCCCACTGAACACTGAACCTTCCAGCAGCCTCAGCCAATGCCTTGACCAATGCCTGCTCCCCCACCCCTACCTCAGGTTCTCTACCCACAGAGCAGAGGGTAAGGGAAGACACTTGGCAGGTCAGGAAGTATTTTACAGTGGGAAAATACAAAACATTCCACATCCTGCCTCTGAAATTAGGAATGGGAGCTTGAATGAAGTTCCCAGGAGTTTGGTAAATACTATTCCTACAGTTTGTAGAAACTTGAACCAAATCTGGTGTTGTCAGTCCTGTTACCTGAAAGCCTCTCCTCTCCTCTGACCCCACCAGCTATCAGCTCAGGAAGCACCTGTCCCACCTTCTGCACCGGAAGCAGCTTGGAGCTAGAGACGTGGACAGATGGGAGCGAGAGTGCATGACACTGCTCCTCCAGGTTTGGAGGAAAGAACTGGCACATAAGCTCCCAAAGACCATCGCAGTAAGCAGGATTCCCAGGAGTTCATCCAAGGGCATCTCAAGCACAAAGTCCACCAAACACTCAGTGCTCAAGCAGATCTATGGTAAATGTTCTTCTGGGTACTTTGAGGTTCACAACAAGCACACCCATAAAGTAAGATTTGAAATAGGACCTAATTACATTGGGCAAACCTCCATTCAGATTAAACACAAAACTTTCTTACTGTACTTCTGAGAACCAGAATGATTCTCAGCACCCCGATTAGTACCTCCCAACAATTCTTGGTCACAGTTAGTTTGATGAGGCATTTTAGCATCTCACCCCAGGTAGCCTTCCAGCCAGGATTCTCCTCTGGGATCCATGGCTGAAAGCCTCACCATCTAAATCTCTCAAATCTTTACATGGGTGTCCCCTTCCTTATACCATCCACATGGATGACTAGCTTCAGACCTTCTCTGCCTCACTCTGACCCTTCCTGTGCTGGGAGAGCACAAGGTTGCTCATCTGTGAGAACGCTGCCAGTAAATACTTGTTCAGATCTATTGCTATAAACGGAAACATTTTCAGTTCTGGAAAGAACCAATGCAAATGCCCTCAAGCAAAGAACAAATCTGGCTAGCTCTCCAATAGCAAAATGTTCAGCCAAGACATCTTTAAAAGATCTCCAGTTCAGGTGGTAAACTATCAGGACTCTGTCCTGGATCTTAGAGTAAGCATCTCTAATCCAACCTGTTGGTGTTCAGAATGTTTCAGACTGTAGAGTACTTCAGATTTTTTGGATCAGGGTCAACCAGTAAAGTCTATGCAGCATCCCCAAATCCCCAAACAAAAATCTCCAAAATCTGAAACACTTCTGGTCCTGAGCATTTCAGATATGGGCTACTCAGCCCATTTCCACACCACACCTAATTTATCTTGGCAGACACCTGCAAACTCAAGCCCTTACCTCAATAAGGATTTCAGAACTTGGTCAGGCCACAGCTATCAAGGGTCAAAGACAGGTGACTTTTGTTGGTTGATTTCAGGTTGTTCTCAAGAAGGGAAAGTATATCACCCCACAAGATCCTCAAGATCCCCTGCTGTGCTGCGTCTCAATTCAGGTAAGGCAGCCACCGTTCTGGTAAACAGGTGGGAGTGAGAACAGGGAAAGGATTTTCTGATTTTGATTCACTGCCAGATGTGGAAGACAACAAAGATGGTCAGGGTCTTCAAATCCTCATGTGTGCATGCTTTTATCCCTCTTCCATAGGTTTATTTTTTAAAATTAACTTTATTGGTACACTTTAGGTATACATTATGATCATATTCATCATTGGGAATTTGTACCTGTACAAATATATATCTTTTTTCATATGTTTATTACTGCAAAGCCTGTCTCCGTAAGAGGCAAATTATTTTCCACAAGAACTATTAACATTACCTCTAGTAGAAGTAAATGGTAGCTAACTTTGAACACTTTTACATACTTGTTCACATAAAGAAATGAAAATGTTTCTTCAAAGGAGTACGTTGGGAACCCTTATCCCATTCTGGTGTCACAGAAGATATCCTGTCTCATTGCCAAAGATGGGAAGAGCACCATAAACAGAACATGGGCAGCACATTTCCCTCAGGCTCCGTGATACAGTGACTCACACTGTGATTCACACAGAAGCTCAGGGAACCTTCTTTTCAGCCACAAGACAAGAGTTTTACTTTGGGCCTTCTTCCTTCACACTGGCATTAAAAGTGGGTGATAAGTTCAATGCTGTCATCAGCTAATGCCAGGTCCAGTGTAGCTCACGGGTGGCTATGGCAACATGCTGCCCCAACCCTCCCTGATCCACACACTTATCTTGCAGGGACAGAGAGCAGCTGGCAAGGTGAACAAGGGCTGTCAGCATGAACTTTAACATTCATTTAGTTTTTGATGAGGGGAAAACCTGGATGTGGGAGACAGAGTAATTACTGCCAAATCTTTAATGAGAGTTGGGTAACTCATGTAACAGAGAGGTTAATCAGGGAGTGGTGGCTAAGGAAGTTACAAACTTTCAAAGGAATCCAGGCTGCTATGTAAAGACCTCCTTTGTACCTGAGTGAACTGAAGAGTATTTCAAAAACAGAACTGTCAGACATACCAGAGAAGTGTCACTGAGATAATTAAATATTAGTATAGACAATCAGATCATTCTCCAGTATGTTTTAAGAGAAAGACAAATCCAAGACTACCAGAGATCCTTAAAAATGAAGATGTTTACAAGCATAAAAGATCTTTAGAGAGAGGACAGAGTAAGCAAATTCAGAAATACTTAGTGGTTTCTTATGATTTCATACGAACAAGCAACCTCTTTGTCCTACACATTACTTTTGACTGGTTTGGAATAGGACAGGGATAAAAGATAATCTTCCCCAACCCTGAACTTGGGGGAGCACAGGTGTTGCTAGGACCAATCTCACCCTTATTAAGCATAAAGTTGGTCAGATAGACCTGCTAGCTACAGTTTAAGTCTGTTATGTTTCAGACAAAAATAAGTCTATAAATGAAGTAACTTCCAAGAAATGGGCCTGACTTGGATTTGTTAGGTTTCTGAAATATGGAATCACAGATGACAGTCTGAATGGAAAAGAAAAGAGCATTAACTTTTGTCTTTAACTTGAATTTTAAAAAGTTTTTTACCTTGAGATTCAGTGGGGCCACGGATTTTCTGACTTTGCTTACTGTTCTACTCCATTTTAGAAAATTGTGTGGTACCCTGTAGATGTTCAAATACTAGATGAGTACTGTTGTTCTTACCTTACAAACTGGGAAAGCCTTTAATAGTTTCTCTAACACGAAGGTTAAAATGAGAAAGGGCAACAGTATCCCTGGGCTATTGCTCTACAAACATTCAAAGGACAGATGAGCAATCTCTGCTATACCTACCCTGAAAAATATCCTCAAATAATATAAATATAGTCTTTTATTGACAGATACACACATATATCCTGGGCCTCTCTAAAAAGATAAGAACTCTTTGAAATTCCATTTTACTGAGTGGAATTAACTGTAGCTCAAGTGAGTACTGTTAATGGTCCACTCCCATGAATCCAGAATATTCCTGTCACCTGCACAGAGGTATGTAAACTTCAAGATACAGTGAAGGTACAGTGGAGGCACACAAGTGTAGCCCTAGCTACCCAAGAGGCTGTGGTTCAAAGCCCTCCTGGCATCTTGGCCAAGACATTGTCTCAAATAAAAATTACAAGGAGGTGGGGATGTAGCGCGTTGGTAAAGCACTTGCTTAGCATGGGCACAGTCCCACTTAGCCAAAAAAAATGTCCAAGTTCTAAAAGCAGTAATTATTTTAAGGCACAATTTCCTTACTTTTGAAACCACTCACCTGTCATATTTGTTTTTATGCTCCACGGGTTAGGAGCAAAATATAGCAATATGGCTTCAGCAAGATCTCCCAGCCATTTCAGACCTAAGTACCCTCATTTGTCAAAGTATATCACTAATGTTTTCTGGCTGTGGCATCCGATAAATTTATTTCAGGGTCTTAAAAAGGCCCCCAAATCTATTTTAAGTTTGCCACCAGTCTGTTAGCCTTCAGCACCTGAGTAATTCTCCAATATACCTATTTTCTGGAACAGACTAAATATGTGGCACAAGGGGAATTACAGTATGTGTTGTGTATACATTAAGTGTGTGTTGTTATGTGAGACACATCCAGAGAAGGGTGTATTGGTAATTCCATGTAGACTGAAGACATAGGGTCCACTCCCAGCTCCTCAAACACCTCCCCCTTCCCAATCCAGGTTCTTCTCTGAAGCGACATCCCTATCTTTGAAATGAGGAAAAATATAAAGCTAGTAAGCCATCCTGCCTCTAGAGCAAACTGGCTCATCTCATTTGGATACAGGAATAGCTCAAACCTAAACCTATACCCTTACCACCAAGGAACCTTTCTCTTCATATTAAAAGTAATAACCTGAATATCTATCTGGTATTTGTTTTTAACAGTGAGCAACTTGCAGTATATACATCTCCATGAGAACACTGGAAGATCAAAGAAATTTTCTTATAATCTGCAATCAGCTACTCAATCAAAAAACAAACCAAAGCTTTGACTGCCTGTGGAGAAAGACTGGAATAGCTAGTGCAGAGTTCTGATTCTTGGTGGAATGTCTTTTACATCTTGGGAAAACTAGTTGATCATGGCTAAGGTCTTATTACCCTGAAAATGTGGTAACAACTCAAACAAAATGTTCAGCTGTTTACACTCTGCTCTTACTCAGCACTGTTTTGTAAATTATGTAAGCCTGCACTGAAAGGACCATGATAGACTATGCCTCAGCAGACTGCCTGTGTGCCTTCACCTCAGCATGGCTGGAAATGAGATTTGGTAATTAAAGTAAGTGGAACTAAGAATGTGAGCACTAAAGGGTCTGCTAGGTTCAGATTTCTGACAGGCAGCTGACATGGGCCTGGTTTCTTGGCTCAAATGATAAGCCCAAATGTGTGATGAGGAGTCTGTCCCACAGCAGCCACCTTTATCCTTTTCCTGATTATCTACTGTAACAAACGTCATGACAGATACCACACCCTGACTCCAACATTATCAGTTTTGAATTTCAGATCAGAATCAGGACCCAATGTTTGCATTTAGAAACTGTCAGAAGACCATGGGTATATTCTCCTGATTCCCACATTAGCCTTTGAAGGCCACAGTCAGTGGCCAGGTCCCCTTCTGAATGGTGTTCTCACTGCTGAGCATACCAGGAGCACCACAGCATCAAGGAATTATGCAGGTCTTATAAGCCAAACCACTCACGCAGCAAGGTGCCAGCTCAGCTTCAACAGCCCACTTGTACTTTCTGACCAGACTGCAAGGTGAGCAATCTCAAGATGCCATTCTTACTGACAGGGAAAACTATATATATTCTAGCTAAGAAAACTTGTTTAAATAAAAATCCAGTGAGTATGGGCTCTTTCACATTTTTAAGGGTAAGGCTACGAAAGAAATGTAGACAATGGGATTAGGCTCATAAATACTTTCAGAGTCAGTTCCGTTTTTCTTAAGATTAGTTCCACCTCTGTATTAACAGTAACAGAAAACAATAAAGTGTTTACCTAATTTAATTACCTTGATTTTTAGTTTAATAATTAGTCATTATTTTCAAAATTATGAAAACACAAAGAATAGGTTTACCTAGATGGCATCACAAAGATTCAGCTAACTGGTTGATAAATACACAAGATGCCAAAGTATCACTGTTATTTTGTAAATATCTAGTTCCTATGAAATCCAAAGTGCTTTACTACTCATAACCATGTATCATGTACTAGTTCAGGAAGCCAGCCTGAGCACCAGTGGGGACTCCCAAGCATTATTTTCCTACTTTAGTGCCAAGGAAAGTTCACAAACAATTTCTTTAAAAGTTTAGCTTTAATGACAAACATCTATTACACCAGTTTCTCTTCAAAATAAGATAGATGTGAATAAACAATTTCAAACAGGAGGTACCACAGGGCCTCTTCAATACACTGTACTCAATGCACTAGGCCCCTGGGGATGCCCAGTGATATACACACTGAAGCAGTAATGTAAGTCTGTGAGCCACTGCTCTTGAACACCACCACTCTTCATTGTCTGCAGAGAAAAGAATAATTTCAAAATTATACTGAAATCATTATGCCACCCAGTAGCATTTTTCACACCTAACTGATTTTTCAAAGCCTAGACAAAAGTATCAGTATCTATAAATCACCACAGAAGTCTGTCAAGAAAAAGGGAACTATTAACTGGGCATCACCACAGCAGGGGAAGCCCTCAGAAATCCTAGTTATATTCTAAAGTATTACCAGTTTCTTTGTGAGTCTGTTCCTTCCTGCGCATGTTAGGCACTCATGAAATTTCACCATTAACCATCTCTACACCCCTGCTCCCCTCTCCTGGACATTCTAGTGTCTTATGAATTCTTTGCACTACCATCAACTTTGAATCATTCTACAGGGCCAAGTGACAATTTCTGTTAATCCCTTTACAGAGGTAGGCTGATTCTCCAATCTGGGAATCTAACCTTCTACTATTTCTGAATTATTCCACTGCTTTTCCAGCACTTCTACAAAGACTATTCAAAAAATTAAAATGAACATCTATGTTATAGGCATGTAACAGCTCCATTACTCCAAAGTATTATTATATATCTCAATGAAAACCCCCAAACACCTATACAAAACATTTAACTTTTCAAACCCAAAACACCAAGGAATCCAACAAAGCTTCCCCGCAAAAGACATAGCCGAAGACAGAAAGCCACTTAGTAGCCAAAGCTAGAGGCTGTTGCTCAACCGTGTGCTTCTAATTTTATCTTACTATCCAGTGAACTAATGATTACAAATTAGCCTGAAGTTGACTCCTTAATGATACTTAACAGCAAGCACTCAGTACGTGTCACATGCTTTAAACACTTTACTTGGATAATGCCATTTAATGGCTGCCAAAACCCAAAAGCATGCAAAAAATGGCATTATTCCCATTTGTATAGATAGAAAAACAGGCTTGACTAGGTAAGAAAACAAAGAAAAGAAAGAAACCTGCCAGGCTATCATAATTAATCAATAAAGTCTGATCAAAGTACAGGTAGGAACAACTTTGATGCCTGTACCTTTTCCAACCAAACTGCCTGGTACCACTTTCATTCAATTTAAATATTTTAAGACTTTTTTTTTCTTACAGGCTGTGGAATCATGAGGCAACCCCTTGGTTAAATCGGAGGCAGGACCTAGACAGTAGGGGAAGCTCTAAGAAATCACCACACTGCATGCACAGGAACCCTACTCTCCTAAAAGGAGCCCCACACCCTCCCATGAACCCACTCCTATACTAATAATACAAATGCCTTAGCAACATGCTTCTTACAGTGATATTCTTGATGATCTGCTGCACCAAGATGGCATTGGTCAACATGTGAGTCCTAAGGGGAGCATGCTGAAGCAGCAGGCGAAGCAGCTGGCCAATAACAGGCAACTCTTCAGGCCCAACTCTGTTCACACGCAGGCTCTGTAGCATCAGCCTGAGGACTCGAGGCAGGAGAGCCAGGATAGAGACACAGGCCCCCCACAGCTTGTCCCTACAACAATGGAGACAGACATGAGCCAGAGCCAAAACACATATATGAAAAGTATCCTTTTTACATTCTCCAAAATGGAAATGGCCTTTAAAAAAATACATTTCTTGATAAAACACAACAAACCATAATTAATAGGAATTCGGTTTCATTAGAACTAAGTACACAAATCCAATGAAGAATCAGACACTCTCCCCTGTTCTTTGGATTCCCAGAAGCCTAGCAACCAGCACTGTCCTGGGCTTAACAAAAACATTCTTAAACTCCTTCTGATCATATAAAACACAGAAATAGCAAGAGAACAGAATGATCTATGCATATAATTCCCCATTAACTAACATTGGACACTAAAAGATAACAGAATAAGGATATCCCACTGGTTAAAAAAAAAAAAAAGGAAGAATTCATGAAAAATTTAAATCTATGATGTGGAGAAGCCTATTTAATATCTTAAGAGTACAGGGCAGATCTGCAGAGATAGATACCTGGCTGGGGCCAAAGTTTTAGGAAGTAGCTAGTAAGAGGATCACTACTGCAACACTACTTCATGGGAAGCCAGAAATGGTAATCTAAAAGTCAATAAACATCATTCGCTTGGTATCTTTATAGAGCAGGAGCAAAACAATGTTAATAGTTGAGACAGATTAATTTGTATAGCTAGTCTAACCACATTCTGCAAGAGAAACAATTAAATAGGAGCAGTATACATCTGCAGTATCCCACAGACTGCTTAAAGCTCTGAACTTTGTTGCAGCTTCTGTACCAGAAATGCACAACCTTTCAGTCCTAAAATTTTCCAAAGGGAACATGATTACCTCTATGTCTAGATGGAGCAGCCCTTTCACCATATAACCAAGCTCCCTTATTTCACATAACAATTCCATCTAAGATGTATAATGAATCCAAATCCACTCTAGGCCAACTAGACCCTCTTATTAAAGTGCTTTTATTCAGCGTGTTGACTGATGCAGAACCAGGCTAGGATAGCCATGAGCAAGGAGAAAAGAGAAACTCAAACTTCAGAAATACCTCATAATGAGACAACAGCACAGAAGCAGAAACAATGCAATGTAGGTGAAAAAAAAGAATAGAGCTTCTCTGGTTCTGGCTGGATTTCTAATACCAGCCCTTGTGGGGTTTTGGGGGGGTTTTTTTGGTACCGGGGATCGAACTCGGGTCCTTGCGCAGCAGGCAGCGAAACCACTGAGCTAAATCTCTGGCCCCCCAGCCCTTGTGTTTTTACATGTGACTCCTGTAATAGTCCAATATACAGTCAAGAGTCACTTACTGATGGGGATATACTCTGAGAAATACATCATTATGCATGGCTTCTCGATGCAATGAAGAGATACAGTAAGGAAGCTGCTACTAGCATACTCTTATAGCAGATTTTTTTATGAGTAGGTATACACTATCGATTAATAACTATAGCCCATTAAATGCATAAATCAGCAACAGGGATTTATTACCAAGTATTATGTGCTGTACCTAATTGTATGTGCTGTATTTTTATATAATTAGTAGTAAGGAGGTTTGCTTACACCAACATTATCACAAACATGTGAGTAATGTGTTGCACTATGACTTTATGATAGCTTCAATGTCACTAGCTAACATGAACTTTTCAGCTCCATTAGTCTTTTTTTCCTGTTGCTGGGGATGGAACTCAAGCTTCACTCATGCTAGGCAAGTACTGTACTCTCCGCTACATTCCCAGCCCTCCATTATAATCTTCTGGGACCACCACTGTGGTCCCAGCTTAGGACTGAGGCCTCAAGTTTGAGAGAAAAGGAGCTTGAAACAGGCTCCTGCATAGACTAGGAAGACAGGAAAATGGAAATGTGAAATTGTCCCATAGTGAACATTCTATAAATTTCCAGAACTCCCACAAGAGATGCAATCTTGCTGACTACAACATCATCATGCAAAACACAAATATATTCATTTTCCACCCTTGCTAATTTAAGCAGTAGATGAATAAAACTTGGACATCCCAGAAACACTGGCAGAACTTGGTTTAGAGATACCCACCACAGTAAAGAACTTGATGTGGGATTTTAGGGTTGTAATTTTCAATCATCAATAATGCTGGAAGCTTAGGACTTAGGCCTCAAATTGGAGAGGTAAGGAGCTTGAAACAGGCTCCTGCATATACTGGGAGGCAAGGAAAATGCAATTGTGAAACTGTCCCATAGTGAACATTCCATAAATCTCCAGAACTCCCACAAGAGATACACTTTGAGAAAAGGTGTACAACCCACACACAGGACTTTGTTCAGCCATATGAAAGACAATCCTCGGAGTCCTACTTGCTCTCCAAAATAAGGAAGAATTCCCACACCAGAGGTAAAAAGAACAAACTGACTGGAATTTTAAAGCAATACCAATAAACCATGAACAGGCAAGAATGACAAACTGCCAAGTATATAAAAATCTAAAAAGAAAAGGAAACAATACTTGATGAAATAATCAATAGGTTTAGACAAAAGGATTAGTGAACTGGAAGATGTTAAAAGACAAAGAAGATGAATGAAAAACTCCCTATATTGAAAAAGAGGGGTTAGAAGTGAAAAGAAACAATTGGGGTGAAAGAGAATTGATAACGAAAACTTTCAAGAGGAAGGGGAAAAACTGAATTTTCAGGTTAAAGAAGCACACCAAGTCTCAAGCAGATACATAAGAAACCTATAAAAGGACCTTTGGATAAAGACCCAAGAAAGAAGAAAAAGAACAGTATCTTCAAGGTTCAGAGGACAATGTAAACCGGTTACACTGTTTTGGCTAGCATTTATAAAATCAACAGTTTCCAGAAATTTGGCATTCTCACCATTTATGATCTCAGAAATACCTTCTTCAGTGATGAAGGAGTAGCCCAAAAGAAAATTTAAGTATCTTGGATACTGGCTATCAACACTTCCTTGTGACTAATGCCATCTTGAAAAATATATACAATTCTGGTACTATCAAGTTTGCCATTACCCAGTATAAAACACCTCTAAAACTAGGTAA